GAGACCAGCCAAAATTGGACTACTTGACAGAAAATGTATTGAAACAAAGCCAAAACTAAGCCAGGAGCAGTGAACTAATAAACTATTCTTGAATGGCAAAAAAGAAATGATGGATGAATAGAGGTAAGAAAATAAGAATCTTGTATATCCACCATTGTTATCTAATGGCCATGACAAAGAAGCTTTCATAACAACCTCATGTTTCCCATTTTTAAATGAGTTGTCTCTGAGATAAGATTATTTGAGACAACTTTATGACAAGTCTCCAATTTCCTGATATCGTTGGAACCACATAGAGATAGTAGTAAAAACTGGAAAGAGTGCAATAAATGATTTTGACTATTCCTTTCTGCAGGAGATTTGAGACTTCATGGTCCATAATTTATAAGTGACTGGATTGGAAGAGGGAAATACATGAAGACCATACTGAAGAAAATGTCAAACTCAAGGATCCCACAGATGAACCAATGATCTAAGACAACTCTCTCCCCCAATAATCCATATAGAAGATTCATCCATAACAGAAGAGTGCCATTGATTACATCAGGAAGACTTGGTAGGGTGCTAGGCTAGTGCCAGTGAAATCCTGCAAAGACAAATTATGCAAGGAAGAAGCTATCTAAATGTCAGCTGCAAAGTGTAGTAATAGAAATTATGACAGTGAGCATCACAGATAAGGAACACTGGAAGGTAAAATTTTATTATAAATAAAACACAACTAGTAATTATCATGAAGAAGAATGTCTGAAAATGAGACAAACCATAGTGTGTGTGGGACAGAAAACTGACAGTAAGTCGAAAAAGAATATCATTTAGATTCCACCCCTCCCACCCCCAGAAAAAAATATCTGATGGTCAAAAACTTGAGAAGTAAGGTGATTAGAGGAAGATGTCTCTACTAAAAGACAATTAAAATTTAATAGATTTCTAAGAGCATCAGCAGTGACCCAAGTATCAAAAGGAACTGGAAAGTATAAAGTTTCAAGAACTGATTTAATGAGTATTACACGAGCACCTTCAGTTATAAGAGAAATCAGTTCAAGATTTAAAATAAAACATATCTGAGAAGAGAGAGAAATCAGATCTGCAGAAAATTATTTGTAATTAGGGCTAGCTGACAAATCCCGCTCTTCAGAAATGAACAAAAGATTGTTTTTCTTTTGTTATTTTTTGTCACCATCATCAAGAAAATTTAGAACTTTAGTGACATGGTAGTTGGTAACATGAAAGCAACTCAATAAAGAAAGGCTTTTCATATTCTAAAGGTAAATCTTCATAAACAGTTTAAAGCCATTAGCAGTCTTTCCAACTTTTCAAACCTTTAACAACTTTCCTTATACACAACCTTCACATAAACATATATAGAACCTGCATGTATAATGTACATGCTTTGCTCTAAGTAGTGATTAACACTAATTCATAGAAAATATGTTGTATGTTGATGATGTGTCTTAAATCATTATCAAGATGTAAATTGTAGTTCCTATCTTGCTCAGCTCACACCTTGCAGTAATTATCAGATGTTTAATATTTGAAATCTATACATAATCAGCCAAGCAGGATGAATCAAAATAAATACATTGTCTGAAGTTTAAAAACATTGAAAAACAGTACAGGAAGGGGGAAATATGATTGATTTCAGAGTTTTAGGGCATTTGACTAACTTAACCCTGTAATGGATTACCATATGTGAATACTGTGTTAATTAGAATTGGAATCAGTAAGTTAAGAACAGAAACATTTTTTACAAATATTTGATATTTGGATGTTTACTGTTTTCTGATTTACTTAATCTAAAGAGGCTAAACATTCCTCAAATTAGAGAACAGCAGTGCCGAGAGTATTCTCCTTTCCATTAGGTAACAGCCATTGAGATATCTTTGACAGTAAAAATGTTCATGAACCAAAATAATGTAAGTAAGGATTAAATGTTGAACAAGCACTGTTGTTAAGATGATTATGGACAACACAAATAGCATTTGGCTTATCTTTCGACATATATAGGGATCTACTATTACCATAACATATGAAGCATTTTAATATATTAAAAACACATACTTTTCATGCTACCCAATATAAAAACTTGATTTAGAAACTTTTTTTTATAGGCACTAAATTTGTACTAATTGTTAGTTGCAAAAAAATTGACTTAATTTTCCAAGTATTTGGACTTTCTGTCTCCCAAATAATATTATAAAAGTGTATAATTTCACATTTTCTTGTACTTGCTTTATTTACATCAAAGTTTGACAGTTCTCTGTTTCAGTTCTTTTGAATAAAGCTGTTTAGAAACAGTGTTTCTTATTGTCTTATAAGAAATTTTATCAATTCTCTTAGTGTACAAAACAGACAGCAATCCTTAGCTAAAATAATACTAACTTTTCTGTAAATTAAAAGTTGGCATATGGTTTTTTCAGGTTCATGCACAAACATCATAGTTTCTTATGTTAAAAATTGGATGACTACATTAAACTTGCTATTTGTTTCATAAGTTTTATTTTTCTTTCACTAACTTTAATTCAAATGTAACAGAGGTATTTAAGTAATGTATTGCCCCACCCCCAGTGGTTCAACTGTAAACTTGTGGATTATAATGATTAGGTATTGATACTCATGATGAGCACAATGCAATTAGCATATTTTATATAGCTTTTCAAGTATTGCATCACAGTTGGTCTGCTGGTTAGGGTGCTTGAGCTGCATTGTGTGGGTTGCAGGATTGAAACCTGCTACTAAATATGCTTAACCTTTTAGTATTTGGGGTTGTAATATGACAGTAAATTCCACTATTCTCTTTTATTAAAGTAGCCCTAGAGTTGTCAGTGAATGCTAGTGGCCAGCAACTCAAAATTAGGGATTGTGACAGATAGACTAGGAGGCTTTGCATTAAACAAAATAAAATATAAAAGCATCACAGTTAAATTAAGTGTAGATTTTATTACAGTGTTTGCATTAGTGATAACCTAATTAAACCACTAGTTACCTTCATTATATTTTATGCATCAAACAGCTTTAACTCTTTAATATAGATTTTAGGCACCAGTATGTCATGAGGAGAAAATAAAGTACTAAGTATCTTAACATCTTATATGTAATTTATTGAAAGTAAAGAAATTCAATTATACATCAGGAGTGTAGTGGTATTGGAGTGCCACTGTGGTACCTGAAGTAGGAGCTGATTCCCAATACTTCAAAAAATAAAAATTATAAAAAATATGTTATTCAGTTTATAATGTCTTTCAGTACTCAACTTTTAGAGTGTCAGAGAACACTTTGGCTGTTAGTGATTCCCCCTTAACCACTTCTAGAGCTCTCTCAGGCCATCCAGCAAACACTTTGTCGCTTTCCCTCAGGACTCAAAAACAGGTGTCATAGCATTAAAATGGTGAAATGTTTTTTGTCACACACAACATGATTATTATGACATACACAAATATGATATTAAAATACTCAATAGAAAAAATTTTGCAATTATACTGGGTGTTTAAAATGTACACTTTTTAAAAGGCTTGTTATTCACATAACTTACAATGAAGGTCACTTTTATTTGTATTGGAAGGAACAGAAGGTATTCAAAGCATTATAAAAGTCAAAGTTGTTAATGCTGTAGTGGAGTTATAAATACAGTTTATTTTTTCTTGCTGCTTAATTTAAAGGAAGTTGAGTTGTATATTTTCTCTTGGTAAAATATGTGTATTCAATTAATTCTAAAATAGTCTCAAATAATTAACACTTTATATATTTTCTTTATTTGAAATGGACTCACAAAAAAATAGGTTTTGAATATGAAATCTCTGTTCTGATGGTGATGTCACACATCTGACAAATTTTGACAGGATTCCAGCACTGTATAGTTTAGCACTACACCAGTTGTACACATTATGTAAAACAACCCAAAAAGATCTTATAATTTGCCATTAAAACCTTCATTATATCATCAAGAGAATGCTAAAAAACAGAAATTGAATAAATTTTAAACCATACACATTGTGTCAGTTAGAATAAAGTTTTTTTTGTATGTTCTGTAGATCTTCATCTGAGGCACTAGAAGAATGTTCTTGTTGGGTAACTATATATCTAACTAGCGAATCTGTGGGCCTATGGACCAAATTTACAGGGCCACTATAATGCAAATTTAATGTTTGAAGTACTACTTTGTCCTTTTTCAGTTTAATGGTCATTGCTGCTATAATGTTAATTTGATACCACATTTAGGGTCCATTTTCAGGGAATCTCTGTAAAAGTGTTTTTGCAAAATACCAGGTTCCCTGAGGGATTGAAAAAAGTTTTACTTTTTTGCAAACCTTGGGACCAAAGTGATTCATTTGGCACCATTTAGAAGTTAGTGAGTTCAGTTGTTTAGAGGAAGGGGTTTTTGAGAAACCCCTGGGTTCCCCAAGGGGTGGGATAAAATTTCTTTCCTTTGTGCAAACCTCAGGATCGAGACAATTCATTTGGTACGACTTAGAAGTTGGTGTAACCAGTGGTTTTGGAGGAATTACATGACACACACACACAATGAATCTATTATATTACTGACTTGGTCATAAAAGTTTTGCATTCTTTTTTTTTTTTTTTATAGGTATCTACTTCATTTGGAATTCATATATCAAATGCAATTAATTTTTATAATATTTCACTTGAGGTAAACATTAAAAAAGAGAAAAACTGTAACAGACTATTAATCAGAACGAAATAGATATTAAAATAGAATGTATTTTAGTAAAAATAATTAAGCAGTAGTATTCTAGTTTAAGTTAGTTCAAATACTTATAGAAATGTTTGTAAATAGGAGCCTTTAATAGCATCACTCCTCTGACTAGTATCCTTCAAGAAAGGACAGTTATGGATACATAAACATGTGATACGGGTAAGCAAAAAGGATATTCAGACTACTCAAAAGGTTTTGAAAAAAATGCACACATTAAATAATCTGTTGTTTTTATTAAGTAAGTGTCTTTTTTACTTTACTTTGATTTGTGTTCTCTTCTTCTCGCAAGAATGGACAGAGACTGACGAACATGGTGCAGTTAAACGTGTTATGCAGAATACATCGTATATCACATCTACAACACAGCAGGAAGCAGGCGTCACTGCACTTGAAGGTAAGTATAATGAGATTTGTTCTATACTGTGTAAGTCTGTGTTTTAAATGTGACAACTATGCACAAATTTGTGTTTGTATTTGGTCTGGTGTTATTCTGTCTTTTCTAAGAATATACGATATCATTACAGCTGTCAAATTGTTATGCATTTAATTTCTTTTATTTACTTGGCATTTTGGAATGAATCACACTTATTATGCATGGTGCAACTGTTAGTGCTTTTCTGTTGTGTGGCTAATCTTCCCGGTGTCCAATAAGTAGTTCATCTGTTCTAATACTACTGACATTGTATAACTCACTGGCTAATGAGTTTATTTCATCTGCAGACATCTCTAACACATTACACATGTTTAACAAGACACATCCTAATGCTCTGTTACTAATCTTCAAAAATGTAGGCTAGTCAAGTTGTTTTTGTTAATCAAAAACAAAAGCAGTAACTGGTTAATAAAAATTAAAAAAAACTATGGCCAACAGTTTCATTACATGTTATATTAGTTCTTTAAGATGTTGTAATACTATTATTTTGTTTATCTGCTTCATTTAACCCAAGTTGTTTGTCATGTAAAGTGAGCTCAAAGTAATTATGGTTTTTATAAAACATTATGAGATTTAGGTAACTAAATTATTAGTTACTTTGTTCTACATTCCATTTGAATTATCTGAGAAAAAATGTATTATTTTTTATTGTTTATGTTAAGTTAACATGTCCTACTATTTAAGTTTTAACCACATCTTTTATAGGATATAACAGTGTAAATAGAATGATCATTTCATAAATAAGTAAAAATAATTTCATTTAAATTTCATGGTACTGAACAAAAGTTTGGTTACCATTGCTAACAAAATAATAAGAATAAACTTTTTTAAATATGACAGTGTGTTTTACTGTGATATTTTTACCAGAACTTCTCTTTAGGCAGGAAATAGTTGTTTGGGTTTTATATATTATCATTGATAAGATTGGATCAATGTAACAACATTAAATAGCTTGGTTATATGTTATATTACTTTAGTTTTATGCAACAACATTGAATAATTTCAATTTATGTAACATTATTAACGTGTTTCGATTTTTGCTGAATCATTGACTATTTTGTGTCTAAACAACACCTAACTTTGATTTATAACTGTATGTAACATCATTGGTTTGTTTTTGTTTATGTAACTTATTGACTAGCTTGAATTTATGTAATACCATTAACTAGTTTGGGCTTATGCAAATACATGCAATAGTTTGGGTTTATATACATACTAATCATTAACTTATGATCAAGTAGTCTAATACTATTGACTTCTGCTTTTATGTAACATTGTTGCATTTCTTTGATTGTTATTTACTTGTTCTGGAATTTTAAAAACTTTACACTGCATTTATACACTGATGAGAATTGGTTGCCATTTGGCAGATTTTTGCTATATGTATTATCAAAGTGGCCATCCACCCAATGAATTTGCTCAAATCTGGTAATTAAAAATGTTGGAGGGGAGGGTGTGCTGGTCCAAAGACAAAAGTATTAGTACTTAAGCTCCATTTGAGATATCAAAGTAGCCAAGGCAATCTAAACTGAAATTGATATGTGAGGCTTTTTTTAACTGGCTGACTGACAGACAGCTGATCAATTGCAACATTTCTTTTGAAACAGAAGGTATCCAAATACTTTTGAAGTATATAAATACTTAAAATGCAGTGGTGAACTATAGAAAAGGATCAGCATAGAGGAAGGCTTTAAATATTTTGCCATCCAACTTAATGGTTGGTGCTTTTCACCCAGCTTAAAATTATATAGAATAGACATTTCTCTTTCATCAGACATTATATTTAAGTGTGAAATAATTTAAATGGAGCTTAAGTTGACAGAGTTAGGCATGATGTGATGAAAGTTGGGGAATATTAGGTTTACAACAAAATTATTGAAATTGTTTACAGTAATTAAGGACTTTTTTTGTTACAAATAAAAACATATTACAAGCATATTAAATTTCACAGATTCCATTTCATTACTTGCATCTCATAATTTATGTTATTTTGCATTGATCAGAAAAATCTAGTTATGTATTACTATACAGAATTTATACATCTCATAAAATATTACATTCATAAAATCAAATAAATAATTAAAATACAATGTTTTACTATGCACAGTAACAAAATATTTATTGAAACTGTCAACTGTTTTCTCTTACAAAACACAACACATTTTGACATGTCTGAGTTGTCTTCAGGTAATATATTTGATTTCAAAATTACACTAAGCCAATCATTCATACTTATTACATTTAGTTTATAACATTCATGTTTATCTCATATTTCTAAGCCAAAAAGTTTGCTATTAGCCCTTTCACTGCAGTTAGGATATATATTTCCCAGTGCACTGGGAAATATACGTCCCAGTTACAGTGATTGGGTTAAAAAAATCTAAAAAATGATATTTTATTTCAGTTAAATTTTATGACATAAATGCAAGTCCTAGGTTTTGTTTAGCAAATTTCATAAAAGAGAAAAAATTACAATCAGTTTTTATGTCTTACCGATCTAATGGATTGTTTGTCATTACATTATCAAATCCCTTCATTGGCCAAAATTTACTGAAAAAGTGGTTGTCACAATGCATACAAATTCCAGTATGCATCATTCTGCTTTAGCAGGAGCATACATAATATTCAGTATCTGCCTTTTAAAAGACTCAATTGATAAATAATTGGTCAGTAATATACCATTGTGGAAACTGGTTTATATAACTATTGCCTCACTATTTCATGAAATGACTAGTTTGTGCTAAACTGGTCTAATCATTACAATTATAAACACTTGTATGTAGTATCTTTTTAAATACATAATAAAATGAAGAGTTTGTTAACTGGTCTGTAATTTTGATCATTGGAATAAGAGTCCAATGTTTGCTGATTATCCTAGAAGTTAACAATGTGAATATTAGGCCCACAAAATGGTCTAGAATGCACCAGAGAGGTGACTCCCAGCTTTTATAGGCTGGAACTTGGGACCATCCAAAAGTTCCATTTCCTTTTGTCCACTCTGAATTATAGACGATCTTTGCTGATCAAATACAATGATATTCTGTATCTAAAATATTTTTCTCTCAGTGCCTATATGTAAGAACTGTATTTTAGTTAAGCCTGCTTTGTTAAGTTTTCAGTAAAGTACCCATCTTCTCCTTTTATTTTCCAATGCAATTTCATTGGCTGTAAAGTAAGGATAAAATAATTTTAATGATATGCCCATGTTAATTATTGACTCTAAACATACTCACAAAAAGTTAAAAAAAAACTGTTAATGTGAAAACTTGGAATAGGTCATTTCTCCAAAAGCCCCCCCCCCCCCCCAGCGGCCCAGAAGTACATCTGTATAGATAGCCCATTGCATTGCTTTGTGCTTAACAACCTGCAAATGAAAAACACTTCTGCAAAACATTAATATAATTTTCTATTTAATTATGCCATCTGAGCAAAATTTCCCTTTTTTTTTAATATATTTTAACCCATTTTTTGTCATATTATTTTCCTCATGTAACAGCTGTATTTAAGTCTTAACTGCATTAGTGTAAGCATTAAGCTATACTAGAAGTGTAGAAGAAATTTTGTAATTCTTTTCGTACAAATTAAATCAAAGCCAACTATTAGCATTCAGAACTTATATTCATAAATATGGGCTGGAATTCTTAATTTGGTTTCATAGGAATTTTAGCATGAATCTCATTAATGCAATGTTAACTAACTGTAAATGGCTGAATCTAGTTGGTTTTATAATAATCTGATTACTAGAACAGCCAACCATAATCCTCATTAATAAATATTATTTGTTGGTACATTTGAAAGCCTTAGTTGGTAATATTTCTGTGAATTTTAACTGTTTTGGTACAATCACTGATGACCATTGATATGAAGAAAGCACAAGTAAAAATGGATTGTTGCTGTTATCAGGTATGTTTGCAAGTTTTTCTATGTGATGGTTCCTTACATTAGTTCATGGCCTGTTGATGCTCACAAACCCTGCATGCAGATACTCACAACATTAACTGCATTGGACTTGAGCTAAATGGCATGTCATAAGCTGAGCTTAAGCTTAGATTTTCCCATCTTAATACCAGGTGACCAAAGTAAATCTGATGTTCAAGAAAACAGAACTACACAATCCATCCTTAGTCCAGGAACATTTCAAGTAGTATTTGGTCCTTTTGAAGAAGCCTATGAAGTTACCAAAGTTGAAGAGAATATAAATACATTATTCTTTAAACCAGAAGCAGTTGCTGATCAGTCTGATTTATTCACAAGAATCAGTGATGCTAGTACAGTGTCAGCTGAGCAAAATGAATCCAGAGTTCAAGAAAGTGTAGCTTCCAAATCTGTCATTAACCCAGAAATGATTAAAGATCAGTCTGATTCATCCATAAGAATCAGTGATGCTAGTACAGTGTCAACTGAGCAAAGTGAAACCATAGTTCAAGAAATTGTAACATCCAAAATTGTCATTAATCCCAAAATGGTTAAAGATCAGTCTGATTCATCCACAAGAATCAGTGATGCTAGTACAGTATCAGCTGAGCAAAATGAATCCAGAGTTCAAGAAAGTGTAGCTTCCAAATCTGTCATTAACCCAGAAACAGTTAAAGATCAGTCTGATTTATCCACAAGAATCAGTGATGCTAGTACAGTGTCAGCTGAGCAAAGTGAATACAGAGTTCAAGAAAGTATAGCTTCCAAATCTGACATTAACCCAGAAACAGTTAAAGATCAGTCTGATTCATCCACAAGAATCAGTGATGCTAATACAGTGTCAACTGAACAAGATGAATCCAGAGTTCAAGAAAGTATAGCTTCCAAATCTGACATTATCCCAAAACGGTTAAAGATCAGTCTGATTCATCCACAAGAATCATTGATGCTAGTACAGTATCAGCTGAGCAAAATGAATCCAGAGTTCAAGAAAGTGTAGCTTCCAAATCTGTCATTAACCCAGAAACAGTTAAAGATCAGTGTAA